GGGGGGGGCCTTCCTCCACCTCCTCTTCCTCCACCTCCTCTTCCTCCTCCTCCTCCTCTTCTCCGTGCGAGAGTCGCAGCGAGCTGCGGGTCTGCACCGGGACCTGGCTGGGGGAGAAGCGCCGGAGGTGCGGGAGGGTGTCCACGTCCTGGGGGGGGGTCAGCACCCGGGTCAGGGGGGGCAACCGCAGCTCCGCGGGCCTCGGACGCCGGGGGCTCCTGGGCGGGGGGGCTTGGGGGGTCTTCCTGACCCCTCCCGAGCCCCCCGAAGCGACCCCCGAGCTTCCTCCTCCTCCTCCTCCCGTCGTCGCCGTCGCTTTTCTGGCGGCCGCCGGCGACCCCGGAGCTTTTTGGGGCGTCCCCGCCGCGGCTTTGGCGGGTTTGGGGAGGGGGATGACCCACGCCTGGGGGGCCGCGGGGGTCGTATTTTGGGTGGGGGGTCTCTGCTCGAGCAGCAGCCGCTCCTGCTGCCGCGTCAGGCGCTGCATGTCGAGCTGCAGCGAGCTCAGCGCCGCGCTCAGCCGGGCCACCGCCGCCTCGTACTGCCCCGGGGAGGGCCCGGGGGGCTTCGTCCCTTCCTTCACCCCTTCCTCCTTCACCCCCGAGCCTTCATCTTCCTCCTCTTCCTCCTCCCGTCCGTCCCTGGCGAGTTTTCTCAGCGCGCTGTGCCCCAGGCGCTGCCGGTGCTTGGCGAAGATCGCCTCGATCCTCTTCTTCTGCGCCTCGATGGCGCGTCTCTTCTCCTCCAGCCGCGCCCCCAGCGCGCTCATCTCGGCGCTCAGACCCCCGCCCGCCTCCTGCGGGGACCCCCCGGCCTGGGGAAGGGTCGCGGAGCACCCCGAGCTCGTCCCCGATTTATCCCCGGCCGCTTCTTCCAGCTTCTTCTTGCGCTCGGCGAAGCTCGTCATGGTGCGGGAGGAGGATGATGAGGATGAGGAGGGAGGGGGGTCTTTTTGGGGAGGTTTCCGGGCCGGGGAGGGGTCTCGGGGGTCGCCGGGGGGGTCGGGGGAGTGCAGGTAAAAGGCGTCGGGGGCCCCGTCGGGGAGGAGGCGCTCGGAGCTGTGGATGATCTGAAGCGCCTCCTCGATGCTGGGGGGGTCCTGGGGGGGCTCCGGGACCCCCCCGTTGGGCAGCGGGAGGGGAGGGGGAGGGGGAGGGCGGCGGGAGGGGCCGAGCAGGGCCAGGCTGTCGGTGCTGGCGGAGCGGGGGAGGGTCGCGGGACCCCCCCCCCCGGGACCCGCCGGGACCCCCACGGGGTTGCCCATGACGATGTCGACGTCGCTGTCGAGGCCGAAGGGGATGCTGAAGGACACGGCCTGGGACAGGGGGTGGCTGTGGAGGGGGGGAAAGGGGGGGTTAGGGGGGGTTGGAAGGGGTGGGGGGGTCGGGGAGGGGGAGTGGGGGGAAAACCCGGGGGTGCTGAGGCCAGGACGGGGCTTGAAACGGAGCCAAAACACCCAAATCTGACCCAAATCTGATCCGAAATGCCCCAAATCTGAGCCAAATCTGATCCAAAATGCCCCAAATCTGACCCCAAACACCCCAATCTGACCCGAAACGGAGCAATGCTGCCCCGAATCAGAGCAAGAATGGCCCAAATCTGACCCCAAACCACCCAAATCTGACACAAAACAGAGCAATGATGCCCCGAATCTGAGCAAAACCACCCAAATCTGAGCCAAAACACCCAAATTGGAGCCAGAATGGCCCAAATCTCACCCAAAACATCTGAAATCCAAGCCAAACCACCCAAATCTGAGCCAAAAGACCCAAATTGGAGCCAGAATGGCTCAAATCTGAGCCAAAACACCCAAATCTGACCCAAAACGGAGCATTGAAACCCAAAATCAGAGCCAGAATGGCCAAAATCTGAGCCAAAACACCCAAATCAGAGCCAAAACACCAAATCTGACCCCAAAACATCCAAATCCGACACAGAACACCCAAATCTGAGCCAGAATGGCTCAAATCTGAACCAAAAACATCCAAATCTGAGCCGAAACATCGAAAATCTGACACAAAACACCCAAATTGGAGCCAGAATGGCCTAAATCTGACCCGAATCCCCCCAAATCTTGACCTGAAACACCCCAAATCTGACCCCAAATGCCCCAAATCTGAGTCAAATCGCTCCAAATCCATTAAAAAAATCCCAAATCTGACTCCAAACACCCCAAATCCAACCTGAATCCACCCAAATGTGACCCCAAATGTTCCAAATCCGACCCCAAACACCCCAAATCCAACCCCAAACACCCCAAATCCGACCCGAATCCCCCCAAATGTGACCCCAAATGTTCCAAATCCGACCCCAAACACCCCAAATCTGACCCCAAACCCCC